TATATATATATATATATATATATATATATATATATATATATATATATATACATATATATACGTACATACATATGTATAATATTAGCTCAATAAAATGTTTTATTTGATATATTAAGATATCGCGTTATTGGCATAAAAACCTTACTTTTGACATGTAAATAGTTTCTTGCTATGATGCGAACAACTTCCCACACAGACATCCATCCATCCAGACATCCATTGGACATCTATTAGATGTCGCTTGGAGCTGTCGACGTCTAATAGAGTTTTTGTTGTGTGGGTTGTTTTAATACTTTTTTCACATAATGCGTTGTTTTTTCTTTTAGAAATTAAACCTTGAATTTAATCTCTATATGGTATAGAGATTAAATTCAAGGTAATATGATAAAAAATCTTAAATAAACTTTAAATAAAAGATTTGCGCACACACACAACAGAAAGAGAAAGAAAAAGAAAGAAAGAGAAAAAGAAAAAAGGAAAATTATTGCAATGCGTTTAATTTTATATTTAGTAAATTGTTTGTAGCAAGACTTCACACACATTGCAACAACAAATTATTTCTTCATATTACTTTTGATCTTTTCGTCCATAATAATCGCGAGTATATTCTTGACCATCTGGTGCGCAAGTAGGTACGCAATTATGTTGCAGCTGTTAATATATTAACACAGTTTACGATGCACGAGTAATCACGATTTGATCGACAAGCGAAATTACATATTGACATCTTCTGTACGTGTGTATATAACATGTATATGTGTATGTAATGTATATGTATATATATGAGACGAGTATTCTGAAACCACAGAGAAATTGTTTTACAATATACATAATATATATAAATGTGCAAACACACAGAACTTACTGTTACTTACTCTTGCAGTATCGCTTATCTTCGCAAAGCTGCTAAAGTTAAAAAAATATATAATTAATGAATAAATAACGTTTACTTTTTTTATTGTATTTATTAATTGAAATAAGTATATAAGAGAATGATATAAATTAATTAGTATCATATCGTAACGATTCGATAACTTTTTATTTGATTTGTTCCAATTATACAGATGGACTTGATATTAGCACAAGTGAAACTTCTCGATTTTTTCCATGACAAAATAACGTTTCAAAAAACAAGTGATTCTATACAGAGTTACAAAAAATTAAACTCAAACTGCGCGCTCAAACCACACAATGTTGCTGTAATTCATGAAAATAGAACGATACAATAGCGATGACACAAATATCAATCGAATGCGACGGGATATCGCATTAAACTTTCTTGATTAAGAATGAACATGTTTCAGCGGGGAGTTCCACGCGGTTGTTTCTCTGAAGAGCTTCGTTTCTATTCCGGAAACATAATTTATAATCCAGAGAGAGAGAGAGAGCGGGCGCGGAGAACATTTTCCCGATTATATTCCGAGTTTTCGGAGCTGAACATCATTATTATCGGGCACGATGCGTATTTTATGGCAAGTTGGAAAAGCAACTGACAGGTCGACCCGTTCGTACATGCTTCGGGTTTTCACTGCTTTTGAATATGGGATGAATATCGGCTCGCTCTACGCCGCAGAGTCGAGCATTATATCGCCTTCGCATTTATGTAGCTGTCACTGTATGTCGGTTTCACGCTCACTCGTTATGAAAGGGGTATTATGTTTTAATAATGGACAACATCGCACGCGTCAAAATTCATCCGGCAAAGTGAAAACATGTAACATTTATTTTGTTCGACAAGTTTCGAATCGCATCGCACGATATGCTGATATATGTAAACGTGTACATATGTCAAGTTTCAAAGTGTTTTTTACATTGTGTATATACATATATATAAAAATGTATGTATATATATATGGATAATACTGAAAAAAATGAAGGAATAATTGAAACTACAGTACTTATTTTATGTATAAAGTTATGTTTTATTGTATATGTGTTCTATTATACGATGAGTATGAATATACTTCGAAAAAATGATGTTAAAGACAACGATGATTTACAAATGTTTATTTTCAATTTACAATAATTTAATAAATATAGAAATTGCGACTAAAATAAATAGATGACAAAATAATGATGCGAAAGCAATGGAAATACTCAATCGTAATCAGATATTGCGATTTTGAAATCGAATCAGTCTATTGAAGCTTTTAAATCACTTTAGATAGTTTAATGTTAATTTCCTTCAATTATTAAATATAATAAATAAAAAAGGCCATATTAAGAGCCAATATGCAATATAATACATAATAATACATAATACATTTTATCTTCTGTATTATTTTGTACAACAAACAAGTTACGCAATAGACAATCAGTATTGGCTCTTTATTGGCTTTTTGTATGTATTAAATGTAACATTAATTTTTTTTAGAAGTATTCTTCTTTTTTAAGTGAATATACGAAGTTCTTTGAAAATACGATGACTAATCGAGACCATGTTATCTTAAATCTATCGCTCAATGTAAATACTCGAATAAATCATTTAAAGTGTAAGAACCATTATTCTTTTTGTAGGAACAATAAATGAAACAGTTTTCGAACTTAGAACATGTATACTGGAAGGGGCATAGCTAACTTGCCGTTGTCCGCAACATCTATCCTTGTCTGTACATGGTACCGCAATACGCAAGTGTCGATTATGTTGTATGTCCACATATGACAAGCTATGTAGAACATATATATACCTTCACATACACATATATACTTTCTTAGTCAGTTATCCTCTCACGCAAGCGCATTGACAGATTTTGTGCAGACAAGGATAGATAGATGTTGCGGACACTTTTGTTACATATGTCAGATAGGCTATGCCCCTTCCAGCATATATGTTCTAAGTTTTCGAAGCATCTCGCACGCAATATAGTATGCTTATAAATGACATTGAGTAATTATTGTTCTTACATCAACTTTTATAAGCAACCATTCTGTACGGTAGCTAAATATTCGTTATATTTTTTTTCTTGCGCTTGTTGTAACTTTTGTAATTTTTTGAGTAAACCTTTACTAAGTTCTTTACCTTCGATATCATGTGTTGGCAATCCCTGCATTAAAACAAGACGTATAAGTATATAAAAAAATTAATATATAAACAATAACACATAAGTGTTAGTGATATGAATAAGCCACTTACTTTATCGTCAAATTGAGAATATTTGTCTTTTTCTAATTTAAACATATCGCTCGGCGGAATTTTCTTTTGCGCTTCCTTTGCAGCAGCTGCAGCAGCAGTTTCTGCCTTTCTCTTTTCTTTTTCCAATAATTTCTCAAGTTCTAGTTTCTTTTTAGCTTCTTTTTCCTTCAACAATTCTTCTCTATTAACTAACTTTACTTTGCAATGAACTTCTTCGTTAGTGTCCTCCAATCGCACTCCAACGTTTGGCAATATATCGTCGCGTAATCTATCGCATTCTTGCAGAATATCGTTCGCCTGCAGAGTCTTTGCAAAACCGCGGACTTTTTCACGGAAATTCGCCAGAATTTCAAGATATGGCATAGCAATATCTTCAACCTGATCGTAACAAATGTACATATATAAACTATTTGCATGTACATTTTCTAATATAAAAGAAATTCAACATTTTACCGTGTTAATCTTACATTTGCACCAACTGCTTCATCTTCGATTGGGAACCCGATCAAATCGTACGAGGAAGAAATAGCTCCAAAAACGATAAATATTTTTGTGATATACACAGCAATATCCCTGAGAAGAAGTGTATTTGGATTCTTTTTTTGGCTCATATATAGATTACAATTCGTTACAAGCTCCCGTATTATGTCGAGAACAGATCTTGTATCAATATTGTCTATAATCATTATACATTTCTTTAATACTGTATGCATATGTGATAAAAATGCAAGTAATATAAGATTTGTGTTGTATCAAAAAGTTCTTACCGCATAATGCTTTATGTACAGAATGCTTAGAAAAATGAAATTTTTTATTAAGTTCTATTTCAGAATCAGACCACTTAGTAAAACTATTAATAGTAGTCTTTGTTCCCAAAGATCTAATAATACATTTTACATTTAAAAAGAATTCCTACAAAAAATATAAATATTAATATAGAAGAATATATATATATATATATAAAAATATAAGTATTAATAAGATGTAAAATAGAAATATACACACACATTAAGTACTCACATTAAGAAATTTTTCGTATTGTATAGCCATGTTCATAGTATTATCGCTGTAATCCAACGTATCTTTCCATGAATGTAAAAGAAATGCAAGCCTAAGCTGCCTCGCTGAATGCTTTTTCAAGGCATCTTGTATCGTTACAAAATTTTTCAACGATTTCGACATTTTGCATCCGGTTATAGTTAAATGACCAGAGTGCAGGAAATACCTGACCCAGTGTGAATTATCAAAATATGCTTCCGCTTGAGCGAGCTCGTTATCGTGATGTGGAAATTTCAGATCTACACCACCCGTATGAATATCCAAGCTCTCGCCGCAGATAGCGGATGCCATAACTGAGCACTCAATATGCCATCCAGGGCGTCCTTTGCCCCAAGGACTGTTCCACCAAGGTTCACCAGCTTTCGAGCTTTTCCAAAGTGCGAAATCTGTTATCGACCTCTTTTCAGAAAGTTTATCTTCCGTAACACTCAAGTCGCCTGATACAAAACAAATTTCACAAAAATAATTTAGAAAATACGATAAGTCTAAAACCAAGAATGAGGAATAGAAGTTGAATGCATACCTTCTCCTTCTTGTAAACTTGATGTATCACCATAGGCTTCTGGTACAAGTTTAGCATAAGAATGTTTTGCTTGTTTATCAAACTTGTTTACGTCAAAATATACCGATCCATTACTTTCATAAGCAAGTCCATTATCTATTATTCGTTGCACAAATGCTATTATTTCAGGAATGTATTCACTAACTCTTGTCAATACATTTGGTCTTAATACCTAAGCAAATCGTGAAATATACTAATAATTACAATTACCAATTCTCTCTACCTTAAAAATGAAAAACTTAAATGTTTAGTAATATATTACATCATACATTTAAAGCATCCATATCTTTATGAAATTCCGATTCCCAGTGTTGTGATAACTTAGTAAATATTGAATGCTCTGTGATAGTACTGCCTTTTATTTTATCTAACCAGTCAGATAAAGGATCTTTAGCTTCTTTTAACAATGCCTAAATAGAAATTATATATCTCTGTGAGAATTAATTGTACAAACACACACACACACACATAAATTCTCTTTTAAGGTAAGTACTACACCTACTTCTTGAGATTCTAAAACAATCTTTTCATCTTTTTTCACAACTGCTTTTTCTAGGGTTTCAATAGCTTTTGTTATTTTGCACAGCATCTTTTCTAACATACACTTTTTATCTGGATCAGTTGCAGTTTTTACAGTATTTTCCAAAGTGAACATTACTTCTTTAACATCGTCTAATATACTGTTAAGATTATGATTTTCTTTCACATATTGTTCATATAAATAATTTTGTCTTGCTCTTTTTATAATCTTGTCATCTATATCAGTAATATTCATTACATATAAAACATCATATCCAAAATAGTCTGATAATACACGACGTAGAATATCAAAAGATATATATGATCTATAAAAGAAAAAACATATTTATACATATAAATGTATTTCAATCATGTATTCTCACTATGAATGCTTTATAAAAACAAATGTAAATATTATATAATTACTGAAAATATCAAATTTTGGTTTTACCTTGCATGACCCATATGGGAAGCATCATAAACAGTAGGTCCACAACTGTACCACAATACACGATTTCCAAATTGTGGAGCAAATATTTCTTTTTCTCTGGTCAAACTATTATACAAACGAAGCACAGTGGCATCCTTCCTTTCTGGTAAATTCCAAGCTGGTTGTGTTCTCTTTGCCATCTGCAATAGATAAAACACAAGATATATTTCTTCTATCAAAATTATAAAGATCCATCATCAGATTAATTTAATGTATTTTTCTCATCTTTTTCTTATATATTTACCTTGAAATGTACATATATATGTATATGGTACGTACAGATGTAGATGTTATGTATATACGTATATATAGATATTTATCTGACAATTTTTTAAGATTTCAGCGCATTCTGATATCACATGTGTTACTTTTACATACCGCGGAATAGTTGCAACTAAGTATACACTCATCAGACAGATGATGATACCACGTAGGAAGTATGCATCAGATCGTCAGAAAGATATTGGCAGGGGGTACAAACTCACTCCTAAGAAAAGTCAGTGTTGTTGCGAAGTCGCGTTTTCGCGTATGCGTACTGTACAGCCAATTAGGTTCCCATAGGCTGCGGTCCGTTTCATGCTTAATCGCGCATTTATCTGTAGTATATGTCACGTATACTATAGATAAATGTGCGCTTAAGCATGAAACGGACCGCAGCCATAAAAGCTGTGTTTTCGCGCATGCGCCTTTAAATGTAGCATTACTGCCGTACTAACTCAGACATTATTAAGGTTCTGTAAAGAACTAAATAATTTTTCATAATTAACACGTGGAGTGTGTTTTAATACTATTTGTTTAGTTTTTTAATAACATTTAAATAAAAAAATATTAAGAAGATAGGATTTAAAGACAATAGAAATAAATAAACATAGAAATAACATTTAATTTAATATTTTATTTGGCAGAAATCACGAATACCAACATTTGTTGCAAAGATAAGGGAAACTGCCAAAAACCTTAGCAGTATTCAAAAAAACAAAAATACATTCTTTTATTTTAACAAAACTGAATATTTAAGTAATGTAATAATATATAACAGAATATAAAGAATATAATATAAAATATATAGTAAGTTATAAGAAATTATTATAAATAACTACAAAAAATATTTACGATTATATACATAAACAATTACATTATATTATATTATTATATTAAATTATATATATAAATCACAAAATCTCTTCTTTTCGAGGCACGTATCTAAAACAAATAAGCTCAGCAACAAAAATAATTAGTAATATCATTATAATCATAGTTATTATAATTATAATTATCCTACGCTCTTTAACCTTCTCAGTCCCTACCGCGAGATCCTGCCAAAACTGTACATGTTAGTGCCCCTCATTTACGTGCATATATATGTATGTACATTACTGCATTCTTCTAGCAGCGCAGTGCGCATGCGCGAAAACGCGACTTCGCAACAACACTGGTCTAGTTTCCACCGAAACCCTCAATTCGGTTTCACTCCGGTACGGATTAAATTTAGTGTTTCGTTTCCATTGAAAGTAGAGTACTTATAGATCGAAGCGGAAGCGAAATCAGCGCAATTTGATAGGTTTCCATCGACTTAAATCTGATTCTACGTCGCATTAGGTGTGAATTAATGCTTCGGTGGAAACTAGACCACTGCATCCTGAGGGCGATGTCCCATTGAGCGGAAATATATAGCGGAACGAAATGTGCGGAACCAGCTCGACCAATCATAGCCATTCCGTTTTCTTTCCTTCGCTTTTTCTATGGTTACGATTGGTCGAGCTGGTTCCGCACATTCCGTTCCGCTATAGATTTCCGCTCAATGGGACATCGCCCTGAGGATGCGGAAACGCGGAACGTAGAAAATAGTAACTAGATTCCGCGTTTCCGCGAATTGAGTTTGTTTCTTCCCGCACGTTTGAGCAGAAAAGCAGAATCCGGTATTTCCGTGTGTATCAAGTACATAAGTATACAATATAATATTAATATATTATTTATTAATATTTATAATATTTATAATATTTATAATATTAATATAATATTTATTAATATAATATTAATATAATATTAATATAATATTTCAAAATAATCATCAACATGATGTTTGGATCGATGATGCACTTTTACAATAATCAAAGTAAGTAATTTAAAATAATCAGATAAAGTAATAATGTAAGTTTTCTTTTTCGGCTCCAAAATTTAATAGAGCTTTCTTTTTAAATCAGCTCCAAAATTTGAGAATACACTGTATTCGCGTTAACAAGGCTTCTTTTTTCGTTTGATGCAGTTTGATGGCTCTGAAGGAATCTCTGCCACATGGCCAGGAATCGCGTTAACAATATTTTAACTCTTGTTCCGCGGGTTTGTGTCTCCTTATATTACATAAAGCACAATTACGCGGAAAACCGGAACGATATAGTAACAAATAGATATTTGTATTTATTTTAAAAAATTGATTTCTTTTAATTCACTGCAATTTTTATTAATATGCTTATTTTTTTAGTTTATCTATTGAATACAAACATTTTGATCAGTAAATATTGTTAAAAATTGATATTTTATAATTTTCCGTTACGCTTTTCCGCACAATATATGCTCATGTAATATAAGGTTTGGTTTGGTGCGCTTGTGGCTCTTGGACCTATAACGGTTAGTCCATACGCCATTCTATGACTGATTTGTGTTTGGTGGGAGAGCAGTAGCTTTCCACCAGACGGCGCACACTCATTAGACGGAGTGTGTTTGAGGAATGTTTGACTGTTTTGGTTTAGGCAGGAGTAGCTTGTATAGGAAATGTAGGGATTTAAATGTAGGGGATACTATATGGAGCATGTAATATAAGGTAATCAAAACCTTAGACCATATACTTATAGACACGGCCTGTAGATATGAATCCACGAGTCGAGGTGAAGCAAAGATAATATCATCTACGTGACGTCACATGTGGGCATTTCAGCAATGGCTAAACGCGGCCTCGTAGATGATATTGGGTGCGTTCAGACAACTCAACGGTTGAGAGATCATCACTTATGATAGGACTATTCTTCAAAATCTGCTTCGGTTCCAAAAGTATGATCCAATCAGAAGTGATTATCTCTCAACCGTTGTGCAACTGTTGAGTTGTCTGAACTCATCCATTATCTTATCTTCAAGGCGGTTATCTGAAGCCGTCTATAAACGCGCCTTTGCTTTGCCCACATGTGACGTCATGTAGATGATATTATCTTTGCTTCAAGATAGTTGTCTGAAGCCGTGTCTATAAGCAGAGAGAAACCTGAGAGCGGCCA